ACAAATAACCAATGAATCAGAACAAACTGTTCTGTTGTATTACATCCATTATGGAAGTGTTATAAAAACTTCGCTGTGTACAAATAACCAATGAATCAGAACAGTTTTGTTGTATTAAAACGTTGTGGAAGTTTTACAAAAAATTCGCTTTGTACAAATAACCAATGAATCAGAACAAACTGTTCTGTTGTATTACATCCGTTGTGGAAGTGTTATAAAAACTTCGCTGTCTACAAATAACCAATGAATCAGAACAGTTTTGTTGTATTAAAACGTTGTGGAAGTGTTATAAAAAAATCTCCGTGTGCAAATAACCAATGAATCAGTACAAACTGTTTTGTTGTATTAAAACCGTTGTGGAAGTGTTATAAAAAACTTCTTTGTGTGCAAATAAGGAATGAATCAGAACAAACTGTTTTGTTCTATTAAAACCGTTGTAGAAGTGTTATAAAAAAAAAATTCGCCGCGTGCAAAGAACCAATGAATTAGAACAAACTACTGTGCAGTATTAAAAACGTTGTAGAAGTGTTATCAAAAAATTTCGCCGTGTGCAAATAACCAATAAATTTACACTGTTTTTTATTTTAATTAAGTCATTCCAGTTTAGAATCATTCTACGACTTTTTAGTTTTTAGATAGTGTTGATTTCTTTAAGTTAAAACGGACTTTTCGAATCGAACATTTTTACGAACCACTAACCTATAATCCCTATGTTTTCACTTATATATCAGTATTTGAAGATTTTAAATTTACCTTTTTATCACCTCTCATTTACCATTCGTAATACGTATTCATAAATAAGCGCTTTGTTCGTAAAGATTTAAGAGTATTTATTTATTTTAATTACAAGTAACAAAACATTGCTATACCCATTTTTCGTTATACGCTCTGTTGAACGAAAGAAAAAGTCCTTTAATCAGTGAACATTTTTGTGAAACTTTTCAATCATTATTGTGATCATTTTGACGAATTGTATTGCGAGATTTATGCCATTCTATGTTTCTCTAAATATAAAAGTAATTAATTAGAAAATAAAACCACTTCGCCCTTAATTAGTGCAGTCCTAATAAAGCATGAATTACATGAGGCACAAACCAGCATGGAGTAAGTGAACGTTTTACATATAGGAGGAAGTAACCACGAGGCGTCTACATGTTTTAAACCTCATTAGGCATACTTCACGTTGGTGATATGCAAAACATATAAATAAGAAGTGAAATTCACTTACCTGGGGTTTAGGTAAAAGAAGTTAATGTCAATCAGTTGTTTCATGTAACATCGAAATGGTTTTCATTGTCTTCCATTATTAACACTTAAGAGTGACTTAAGTATCAACTATAAATACTCTTGCTTCAAAAGTGACTTACCTAAGTTATGTTAAAACGAATATATATATATAAAGTCAGCTCAACAGCACTGATAAACAGCACTCGCGAGACTTGAAACCAGAGTGACTATAGGATCTGTTCGTTTCTTCAACAGAATCGGCCTGAAGCACTCTGCGTAGTTGCCCGTTATGACTTTGATACGTTAGTCCTAGCCAAAGCCCGAGTAGCGGCAACTCGAGTCACTCCTTGGATGATACTCTGAAGAAGTGGTAAAAGTAAGACGTAATGATTGTACAACTGGAAATATTGTGCAATCAAACACCATGATGTAACTCAAGAATCACAGCCAGAACGTGCAGAATGGTAACCAGATAATCATAAAGACGATACAGGTAAGATAAAAATTATGACAAAGAAAAAAACTGGTAGGAATGCCAGTGCATTGGAGGTGGCTCCACAGATATTTCCTATCTCATTTATATGTGACTTTATTAGTAAAGAGTTTAATTCAAAGCTCCGGATTTCGTTAATGTTTTGTATTCATAATAATGAAATTTAACGTACTTAGCCTGTTGTTAACATGTTAAAAGTCTACTTAAATATATTCATAATTTACATGTTTGTTACATGAACTACGTAAAAAAACGACACCTTTCAACAGATAATCGAGTGTTTACCTTTGATATGAACCACGTAAAAAAACGACACCTTTCAACAGATAATCGAGTGTTTACCTTTGATATGAACCACGTAAAAAACGACACCTTTCAACAGATAATCGAGTGTTTACCTTTGATACGAACCACGTAAAGAAACGACACCTTTCAACAGATAATCGAGTGTTTACCTTTGATACGAACCACGTAAAAAACGACACCTTTCAACAGATAATCGAGTGTTTACCTTTGATGCAGACCTGAAATTCCAAAACGCATTGAAAAAAGTGAAAATGAAACAGATACTCATTTTTCACAGTTACATTCATGTGTAATATTTAAATGTTATACTACGCGATTAATGCATCACAATATGATAAAAAAGGTATTAAAAATAAAGCATCTTTTTTATGATCTTACTACATACACTTTGTTAACAATAAATCAAGCATAGTTTCAAAATGTGTAAATTATTTAAAATACGTCTTCAGATAAGATGCGAAGACAAGAATTAGATAGATATGTGATTTTGTTAAACGTTTCGGTGGTCAACAGTTGTTAACAAATATGTAACCAATATCAGGTAAGATGCGAAGACAAGAATTAGATAGATATGTGATTTTGTTAAACGTTTCGGTGGTCAACAGTTGTTAACAAATATGTAAACAATATCACAGTAAGAGATTAGAGTAGTTAGCAAAACTAAGCAAACTTTTATGTTTCAGAAAACTTTAATTTGGACCAAAAATTCTACAATGACTTCTTTAATCCTCCTGAAATAAATCTCTTTGTATTTAACCGTTAATTTCTCAGAGACTAAGTTTACAGTATTTTACTTCTTTGTAAACTAAATTCACCTGTGTTCCTCCTAATTTATTTAATTAATTTTATCAAAAATATGTGGGAAAAATATTGTTTTTCTAGCCTTTCATAAACCATTTTTCACGGTATTTTATCTCTTTATGAATCGCAATACAGAATATTAACATAACCGTTTTAAAACAAACGTTAACCTGCTCCGACGCGAAATCTGCCTTACCAAACTTTCACGTATTAGCGATTATTAATTGTATTTAAATCAAGTTTTAACGACAGCTCTTCCTAGCCCAAAGTTCTCTCTATTTTATAATTTATAATTTTAACGAAATTTAACGTATATTGTACACAAATTACTAATTATATTTTCATAATAAGTTATTTAATTATATTGATTTCAGAAATGACTACTTGCCAGATTTGCGAAACTGTGCGTTTTAGCACTAAATTATAAACGGTTTAGCCTATGTTGATTAAACGTTTTTTACATTAAACTGAAACAGATTAAGATAAATATTCACTTATATTAAGAATCCAAATGCCACTAAGCTAGTAACAAGCTAGTAACTAAGCTAGTAACAAGCATGAATGTTGTATGTGTCGTTATTATTTAAACTAATATGCATTTATAGTTAAACACGAATAAAACACTAGATGAATGACAAACCTACTAATATATATATAAATAATCGTATTTACTTCAAAAATGTTCAGGAAACTTCAATATTTTTGTTTTAATCTAAAGTAACGGTTTAATTGGGGTTTCTATGTAACTGTACTGACGTACATACGTACTCAAACTCGCCAAAACTGACACTTTCAATACAATAACGAAAATTGGCACTTAGCAGCTTCCTTGAAAAAAAAAAAATTAAAAGATGCTCAGATATCCAAAAATTATAAGACCTATCATGCAACCAATGAGATATATATTCATTAGACCAGTATTATATTTTAGGAACAGTATCAATAAATGTTTTAAAATATATTTAAGACAAAGAAGAGCAAAGAAACAGTAAACATATTATATTGTAGGGATAACCTCATTATATGGTATTTCTTTCACAGTAAACATATTATATTGTAGGGATAACCTCATTATATGGTATTTCTTTCACAGTAAACATATTATATTGTAGGGATAACCTCATTATATGGTATTTCTTTCACAGTAAACATA